ACTGCCTGACAAGTGATTGCCTCAAGCTTTCGACGACGAAATCCTGCACAACTCTGCATCACTGATTCTCTTAAGCATTGCCATCAATAGCAACTGCTTTCTTAGTAGATACGCATGGCAAATTAAATTTTCAAAAATTCTTAAGAATTATTTAATCATTTATAGGTACAAATAACTAACTTGCACATGTATGACACATGTAAGTTTCAAATGAAGGGGCGGGGCTTCCCCTGCTCCCCCTCAGTCCGCCATCGGTGGATACTTATGTTTGCCTGAAAGCCAAGAAACTTGCCATGACCATAACTTCATGAGCAAGAATACTGGAAAATCTTGAAGTCTTTCCTGATTGGCTGGATTAATAATCTTGAAGCTAATACACTTCCATCAATAAGCAGTTATGCCAGGTAAAAGGTTTTTTCCATTGATGTGAGGAGTCGCTATCGTTCAAATTCATCTTTTCAGCCTTGTCAAGTTATGAATAGCTCTCGCAATGCAAATAACAAGTGAATGTGTAAATATGCTATGCCTCTCGAAAAGGTGCTGCCTTCATGTGGCAATAGCAATTTTTCCTCATTGCTTGAGCCTCCTGGAGACACAATACTTGATTTCCGCTTGATTTCTGCTTCAAGTCATTATGTAAACAATGGCTCTCAAGAATTTCTTTCCCACGGGCAGGTGGTGGAGGAGGCGTATTGCGACAAAAACTTCTTCAAAGTGGCAAAACGAGGACTAAGCTTTGGGAAAATTCTCTGGGAAGCTCTCCAAATTCTGCTGGACTATCCCTAAATGATCGAGTGCTGTAGTGGAGCTAACTCTATCTGTTCATAGTTCAATGCGTGCACGTGTACACAGTGATCACATGGCGCGTGAAATCGCGGACCAAAAGGAGGCACTTTTTTGAGGTTAGAACTCCAGCGCTCTAATGTTGAAACTATGAGATGACGTCCATTTTGTACAATGTGCAATCACACATACTAACTCAGGAAAAGTTTCCACTGCACTTTAGAATTCAACAGTTGTCTAAACTGTTTGCAGACTATTGCGCAGGTACACATTAAGAAAAGCTGTGGAAAGCTGAAAGAGGGCAAGATAATTTTTTCAAACATGGATGTTTATCGCAACCGGTGGTAAACTTAACCAGAGAACGCCCGCAAAATAAGCACAGATTATGCAGTGCGTAAGCCCTTATGGGGTGAAACCCGTATAATTTTACCCTCATTCATTATTTGTCAGACATATATATACTTCTTTGTCAGTTGAAGGTTATTTGTTGGAAATTTGAGTTGGAGTGGGAGGTATTTGCTCAACACATTTTCCCACCATCAACGTCTGGCATTTTTTTGTATTTTCGACGTTTGGTAGTGAGTTTGTTAAATTTTTAAGCAGCGTACCTCGTATTACTTTTAATCTCCTAATCACTAGGTTATGTTATAATGACGATCAGGGGTTGCCCATCAAATGCAAAAAAAGCAAAAGTGAGAAATTCCGACGCTAAATATGATGAACTTTATTCAATAGGGTTACAATTTCTCTTGGAGATGAAATGTCTGATTTGCATAAATGGCCTAATTTCCCAAAAGGAAAGTCATAACAGAAGTCACTATAAGTGATTTATCTCTTTCTATCGTAGATCCAATTATTCAAAGCATTATTTTGAATATTGGTCTGCAAGTATTCTGAGCCATGCAGATAAATTTTGAGGCTACGAAAACAAGCTTTTCAATGACCCTAATTTATCGCAAAGAACAAATATCTTTAGCCGAGATTCTTTGTGTTGATGGCTGTGCTCTTACCCCGATCAATCCTTAGAATCTCAGATACGTTCGCAATGCTGCAAATCTTTTTTCGAAATCTACTTTTTCGACCAATTTTCGCATCAGACATCAGTCGTATACTCCTATAACTGAAAATAAAACTAGTTCTGAAATTATACTATTTGGCTGACATTTTCGTGTAAAGTTCATTTATTTTTTCCGTCTTGTAAACTTGCACTTATTCCCTCCTTTCTTTTTGCACTTTCAGTGAGCTCAATTCTGTATTCATGGTTTAAGAGTTGATTCATTTTGATGCTATAAAAAAACAAATTAAGTCGACTAAATGAGAGGCCAAATTTATGACATACAAAATTTATTGCTATGAATTTATGTCGACGCCTACCTAACAGCACTATTCGTACAGATTTTAATTCCATTTTCTTGATAGGACTCGTAAAAAACAAAAACTTGGCATATTTACTCGAAACTTGGTTACTGTAGTTTAGAGATCAATGAGAACAGTGTTGTTTTATTTTTAGTAGATAGAGCTATCAATCCGCCCCCCCCCCCCCTTTACTTCCCACCTCCTATTTTTAGCATGATAGCCATTGCTATAAAAGAAAGTAAAGTTTGTACCGCCTTCGACCTACCTCCTCTTATTTATTAGTCGTAGAAACTCAAAATAAATGTACTTTTCAAAAACCTGGTGCTACTGGCTGCAACAAACACGGAAATTTTTTAAATTCTCTTAAATTTCTTTGTCTTAAAAACATACTCTTATTGCGCGATGATGTAGGCGCATAGAGAAAGTTGTAAACATCGTGATCCAAATACTAGTACTGTAGACTCACGGTAAGTGTACTTTAAGAGAATCAATTATATTATAGAAACATATTCAAAGAAAGTATAAGAATGATGCACAAGAAATCCATGCTTTTGAATAAAAACCGTGGATCTCCATAACATTTCCTTCTCTACAAAAGCTGCAAGTATTGTTGTGAAGCTCCTGCAGTTTATCATAATTCGCTCCAGTTCGTGAAGCTATTTATTCGGTTGCTTCCACTCTTCCGGATGTTGCCAATTTTCGAATCGTTCACTTTTGTGCTTGAACTTACGGCAAAAATATCTGGGATTTCAAACATAAAACCTGTTATATCGAAGTAAATGCATAGTATTCGGCTCTTAAAAGGCATTGAAAAAGGTAGGCTAATCTTTTGCCTGTGCAAAATTTCTTGCAGAATTTTCAGAAAAAATCTTTTGCACCATTTTGTATGTAGTGCTTGCTCAAAACCAACCAACAGATTTCTGCCACTTCAAAATTTTGCGAATTAAGGAGGTCAAATTGACGTTTTAGGGAAAATCTTGTTGGTTTTCAACCTTGCGTATCTAAACCATCCGCAATACCACTACTACCAGCGAAATCACATTTTCTTAACACTGGCTTGCCAATAAAGGCGCTCATCGTGCCATAAAAATTAAGTCTAAATAAAACAGATCACAAATTTTCGGGGTAAGCTTTTGCAAAGCATATCATCAGTTCTGTATCATTCTATTATTGTTGTAGCCTCAGTCATACAAGTAATATTTTTTGTGCCTAATTGAAGCCGGTTTGAAGTTTCAGATGCAGGGTGAACCAGGATAACCGCTCCAAGAGAACAGAAGACGGATCAAGCATGAATCTGTTTTCTTTGATTCTTACCATCGCAATACAATAGTTTTCGACAAGACAAAGTAGTCAAGTCAATTACCTGCTTTTTCTCTCGGAAAATTCATATTTTCTCGTCAGATAAATGGACTCCATACGCAGACGCAAATTTCTACATTCATACAGTATTTTGTGAGCAACATAAAGTTAGGGAATTGTGTACTAAGTGAGGGGCATTGCCTCCACATTATCGAATAAGAATTTTTTTTTTGATTCAAGGAGGGAATATTGATTATTGAAAATGGACATACGCAGCATCATATTGCATTACAGCTGCATTTGGACTTCCGAAGGGCGTCTGAGAAACAGAGGATGATTTTTGAATCAGTGTCAAAATCATGCACGAAACTCTCTTGTAGCTCTTTTATACCTCTCATCAAGAATTCTTTTATCTAATTCTAAGAAGTCTTGCATGTCTTCAATTGATTTCGAATATAAAGTAGATGCTTGTGAATGGGTACCTTTCCCAAAGAAACGGTATTTTAAAAGAATGCTAATTCACAAATGCAGCTGCTTCTACGCAGTGGCCTGTCCAGGATCTCCGTTGGGGGGGGGGGGGGGAAGATTTTTTTCTCAAATGAAAGTGCGTAGCGTTAGGCACGCACTCAGAAAATTTTTTGTACTCATGATTTTTGCGGGTCTATGACCTCGATATTTCTGAAAAAGGTTTTTTAGAAGTGATTTGAATTTTCAAAATTTTCGAAATTAATTTTAATTATTTACAGGTATAAACAAGTCACTTGCACATTTTTATAACTCATGTAAGTAACTTTCAAGAATTTCGAAACCATTCTCGCCCCCCCCCCCCCCCCCTCGCTACGCCACTGCTACTGCGTGTTAGTAAAAGTGTGTTCTGCAATAAAAATATAATTCCCCGAGAAGTTTTGGACTAATTCAGCTGCAGAGCAGAATTTTAAAGACTAAGATCCATTTTTGATCTTTTAAAAAACTTGCCTGATTTCTCTAAATCTCACTTTTTTGAATGAAGGTTTTTTCGGACATTTAATATATTCTGTAAAATAAGACTAGATCATTCTGTTGGATGTAAACCGTATTTCTCCGTAGTTTTGTCGGGCTGCAAATTTGGTGCCGGTAATTTTGACGCACTCTGTATAGCCTTGTATGAAATAGTTGTTGTGGAGTCTGGCACAACCTTTGTTCTGGCGAGATCCTATCTAGAAATTTTACAAAAAAATCATTTGTCCTATCTCAGGATAAAAGTCGTAGTTTCAATCCTCCCTCTGTCTCCCCACCCAAAAAGGAAATCTCTATGAGTGCTTCTTTAACACTCATCAACTTCAATTTCTTGCAATACAAAATTCTAGATGTGAAGGGGCCGCAGGTGACTAGGAGCTCAGTAAAATAAATATCCGGATAAGACTGTCACCATCATTCTCAATGACAACCTTTTTTTTCTTATTTCCTCCTACCGCCGTCCTCCATGAACATATATACTCATCCTTGACCATTGCTTTCAACTTTACCAAATTCTGTTCAAAACAATTGCGCATATGCGTGACTAAATATGGAGAAACATTGCAGGTGACGCAACTAGCAGAGTGACACGTTTATGAGCGAGACGAAAGCACAAGAGCCTGTTTCATAGTTCGTATCGTTGCGGCCGAATGATCCAGGATATGTCTGCGGTATGCACTTCATTCTTTTCTGCACCTTCGCTCGGATTTGGGCGCAATTGGTCTGACCGTCTACCTAGCGCAGTTTATTTTTACCTTGAAAAATTATTCCTTTGCACATTCGCACGATGTTGATAAAACTAATCTGAATTGTCTGCCGCCTAGCATATGCTATTCATACACAATTAGGTTGGCTAATGCATAAGTTCGTTTTGACATGCATTCTCAAAGCTTTATAACAATTCCTGTAATAGTTATTTAGGAAAGATTTTGTTGTGAGGAGGCAGTACATCTACTCTCAAATATCATAAAAAAGCAATTTTTCGTGAAAAAATTATTTCTGAATTTCTTAAAATCTTGCCGAACTGATTTTGGTAAACTCCCAGCCTGCGTTACCGAAGAGCTGAGAGTCCTGAAATAGAACGTATTTGCACTCATACTCCATCAAAATCACAAAATCTAAAAACGCAGAGAAGAAGAATGAGAAAACTTTTTGTACCATCGCGGAATTTTATATTTGCTGTAACTCATGTCAACTATGGTAAAATGATACCAGTGGATAGCTCTTTGTCCCTTCCTCGTATGTCAGATATGACAATCTAAAGAAATTTCAGATCTTCCAGAAGAAGTTAGAAAGTATGACAAAACTTACGACCCAACACTAGGACCTGTATTCCTTGCACAAGGACGCAAGAAAAATTTTCTTTGAGAATGTTCAAAACTTTCTCCTTTTTACATCATTTACGTTTGTCAACATAATGACTGACTCCCAACAGCATAAAGATTTTGTTTGGAACAACCCAATGCTGAAAGCCAATCGTAAAATTCGTAGAAAGTTTTCGATCACTACGAGACAAAGACTACGATTTTCGATAAAGGTTTTTTCTATGTTTGAGACTTTTGGATATCACTTTCACTTGTAAAATCTCAGATCATCATAGCAAAGCAAGGAAACGTTAGCAAATTCTTGATTTGCTGTAAAAAGACTTGACAAACCGCTATACATATGAAAAGACGCATATTGAACCAAAGATCTACAGGAAAAAGAGGAGTTTTATTTTATAACATACGTATTCCAGACCACGCAATCAAGTGTAGTTTGGAAGTTTGACAGTAATTTTGAATACAGAAGATCTGGCAGAAGAGTAGGAATTCGGACTGAACGAGAAAAGTTCTCAGTTTCAATACACTTTTTTCTTAGAAAAACAGCAAATTGTGATATGTTCGGAACATGTCTCGAGCACACTTCTCACTGCTTTTAAGCCTTTCTTTTCATCAGGGGGATATGCGTAAAAGGTGATAAAACAAGAAGGCTTTTAGATGCCTTAATAACAATGTTTCCAAAAGCACAGCAAATTTCTTGCAATTTTTTTTCTTACGTTCGGACGTATAGATTTAAGAATTTTAGATATCTTCATCTCAATGGGTGCTGAGAATGCATTAAGACAAAATATTCTATATAAAAAAGATTCGTCTCATATATCCTATTGAAATTAACCTGATATCCCCTTATGTTGTTGGGCACTACTCACCAACTTTAACCCAAAACTTCTTCGTTTATCTGTTTTTTTTTTGAATGAGCTCTCACAAGGTTATATGAATTATTTTATCAATAAATCTCCTAAAGGCAGTTTCTGTTGTATCATATTTCGACTATTTACCATACAGCTTTGTGCCATAAAATTTTCGTTTTCTTTGCCTCATGTTCGGCCAAGTTTATGATGTCGTCATTTCTTTTGCTCTTTCTGGCAGCCACCTGTTCTGTATGGTACAGATACAAAGCCATGTTGACACAAAATGCTGAGAGATTGATCCAAATTGTTTGTATTTGTTGACAAAACCTTGTCATGGGCGTACGGACAGAGATCGAAAGACTGGCCATGATTTAGGCGAAGTGAACAATCGAAAGCCAGTACTGTCTGCATGGCGAAATAATCCAAACACCTGTTAAGTTGAAAGAGAAAAACTACATTACATCTCACAATAATTATCCGAGAACAATAACGGCTATTAGTGTCAATAAATTGCAGAGTTTTGCATGAAGTGGTAAGGTGAGTTTAGCGCAAACAATGACCATTTGTCATATTTTCATTCTTGCAGGGGTACATAGTCATGATATCTGAGAATAAAAACGAGGACGGAATCAGAATATCTTTTGATTCTACACGAAATCTTTAATGCGACACTCTAGAACTCTGCTATAATTAATGATGCATGGTATTGCCTGTTATTCCAAAAAATGGCTAAAGTGAACGAAATATTTTTTGATGAATCGTTCTTGGATCGCCGATTAACCTCATCTATGATTTTCTAAATTTGCAAACTTGCTTATAACGACTAAAAGTTGCGTGATCTAGGGAGGAAATGCGACGGCAGGCAGATTCTTGAAAAAATATGGAAAATAAAGAAGTGGAAAATAAAAAAAACAAGAACGTAAACACTAACCATCAACCAACTTAAGTTTCATCTCAATACCTGGTTCTATATAACCAGGTATTGAGATGAAACTTAAGTTTCGCACTGAATAACAAAAATTTGTAAGCTCCAAAAAATTCGGTGATTCCGTTTGATTCAGCACATCACTTAAAGAGAAGAAATTTGGCTCTCTAGAAGTGATATTCCTAATTGAAACAAAAAGGGTGGAGGAACGAACACCTCAACTAGGCACCGCCTCCGCGGACCACTGGTCCCAACACGATGCACAACAGTAGGACGAAAGGACCAGCAGTCCGCGGAGGCGATGCCTAATTGAGGCGTTCGTTCCTCTACCCAAACAAAAAAGCATTGTTTTTGTGCAATCGTAAAAGTTAATAAAAACAAACACTCATATAGTTTTGCTGATTTTGGTCGCTAAAAATGAAAGGTACTACTAAATACATCTTCTAAGTCACACTACCTTTGGACTTTATAGCCTAGTCTTTTCAACTATAAACCTAATTCGAATAATTTTTTTTTCAGATTGATTTGTTCAAAATAAAATTTACTTTGTACAACAAATACTACACCTATTCTATGCGAAAAACTCTGCGGTTAAAGCATTTTGGCAGATTTTTTTGGAGTTTTTGATGCAAGCTTTGTGTTCCAGTGTAATAATTACATTTTATTTTAATTACATTTTACATACGTTATACCATCTGACCTTACTCACAGCAGCTGTCAAGTAATTTTGGACAAAACAAAATTTTTCGCTTTTTCATCTAAACCGGTAGATGTTGCAGGAAGCGAAAAACCCAGGACATCATGGTGGCTTCTCTTGGTGGGTCGCTGCCATTTTCATTGTTGGAGAAACCGCAGGAAGCGGTCTCGTTGCGATGCCGAACGCTATCAAACACACAGGTAAAAGATTTTTGGCCTTTTTTAATTAGAAGCGTTTTTATTAGGCACTTATTCTGCTGTTTCCCTTCATACTACAGAAAATTTTACCCACTTTTGCGAAATGATATTTATGGCTTTTTTGCTCAAGCACACCATGAGTGAAAATGAGTATCGACTTTTACTGCAGCACACTTATTATCCTGAATATATGACTTCGATAATTCTGAGGATTTGTTCCGTAGGTTTCGCTTTCTCGTTTTCAAGCGAAAACCAAGCCATATGAAATTTTCGATCAAAGATCTTCTTTTTTCGGGCTTTTATCCCTTTTTGACAATAGCCCTCTGAAACAAGTTGCCAAGTATTTCTTATCATAAGCGGCCTGTTTTCTTGTTTTCCTACATGGCACAATTGAGCGAAAAGCTCTTACTAAGCAACATCTGCAACAATTGCGATAGTTTTTCTCCTTATGAAAGAAATCATAACTACTGAGTTTGCCCAAACCGCCTGTTGGGATTGGTAGCAAAAATCGAAGGTAATCGTAGTGCATTTGACATCCGAATGGCTATTACATGCTTAGGGCCAAGAGTAGATCGAGGCTCGTAATCAGTGTTTGAAGACGCCTAGAAGTGGAAGTTGAATGAGGGAATTCTCATTTTCAAAATTTCAAGCTCAAAATTCCGACGCTTCGGAGGTTATTGCGGACCTTTTTGGAATGGTACCCTCGCAGTGTACTGCAGAGCGGATTATCGGTTCAAAATTATGAGTATTTCGTTCTTAAATGATTTTTTCCAGGTTTTATTGGCGGTACCATTCTATTGAGCTTGGTTGCTGTCATGTGCGGGCATACTGCCCGAAATTTGGGCAGCAACTTCTTGCTCATGCAAAAGCGCTGGCCACAATACCTACAACCTTGTCGAAGTCCATATCCAGAGATGGGTTATCGAGCTATGGGAAGAGGAGCCAGGTTCGTCCCAGTTTCTCGCTAAGCCCTTCATAAGTAGATAAATCGAGAGAAGCTTCTATAGATACACATTAGGTTGTCGGATAATTTTATCAATTATTTAGAGAATATTATGACGCCGAAAAGGAATACAAATATTTGTAAAACCATTTATCTCTACCACTGTGGAAGGCGAGGGCAAAATACTTAGAAATAGTCTTAATCGGACTTCTAAAAAATCTAGAAAATTCAGAGAAAAGTTAATGCCGGGTGAAAATCAAAGGAGGCATCCAAAAATATTCGGGGTGTAGCCAAAGCACCTTCAATTGGGGAATTTTTTGTTCTCCTCCCCCCATCCCCTCGAACGGAATTCTGGGAGCGTCACTAATCTCTACATATCACGATTTCATGCCAATTGTCCGCCTGAGTAGAGACTACCGGATACACTGGCCCGTAGTAAACCCCCCATCCGGGCATCTCTCTCGACGCGGACCGGAGTTGAGGTCATCGCGCTTCAGTCCAGCATCCAGTGAGCTATTGATTTGGATGTGGATCGCCTCCTAGACATGATAACCACATGTGTTCTCAAAAAACCAAACACTTGAGCTGGTCTGGTCAAACGGATAAGCGATTGGAATCACACGCGCGCGGTCGTGGTTCGACACCGGCTAGCGCCACAACTTTTGCTGCATCGCCGGACAATCTTTGATAACGGCCACTGTCGAAAAAAATCGATGATGACCGCTAACAAGGATATCACTTAGCAAATGGACAGATAAAACAAAACTGACATATTTTGACGGAGAATTCATGAAAAACTGAAATTTTTGGAACATAAATAAAACGTAATAAATAAGTAGATTCTCTTCTAAAGTAGTTTTTACAAGAAACTAAGATTGCTTTGCAAAGAAAAAGAAGAAACTTTTATCCTTGCTTTTGTCGCCAAAATCAGCTGTTCATCGATCCTTCTCTTTTCGGGCGCCGGTATTGTGCAGTTTTGCGCCGATTTTTTCTGCATTTTTTGGCAAAGTTGTGTGTATCGTAAGTTACTCAGGAGCAACTTATGTTAGATGCAGTCACCTCTTGTCTGCGTCTCCTCTTCTACACACTATTTGGATCACTCTAACATCCGTTCACGTTGAGGTGACTTGAACGTGAACTGATGTGGAAGAGTTGACTGCGGCAGGTGGACAGATGGTCAACTATCAGTTGACTTGACCATCTTATAGCATGGGAACGTGGACGGTGATCCGTTCACCTCATCTAAGGTGAACTGATGGGATAAGTTGAATTCACCTCAACTGATCGAGCTTTACTACGGGCCACTGTCTTCTACCCCTGTCAAACCTTTTTGTTGGCACCTTATGGAAGGGAAATTCCTGAAAATTTCTTCAAAGACCTTTATTAAGACTACCCTATCAATTTCTAGACAATACACATGAAAAGAATTTTGAAAATACTGATATTTTGAAATTTTTCATCTTTTTTCTGAGATGAAGGTGTCAGACTACCGTCGTAATGACAGCGTCGAAGTACTAGTTACAAATTTTGAGATAGAAGGCACAAAACGAGGCAGGGAAAATTCGAAGGCGGAATTTTGAAGAAGTTCAACAAAATGTCATAAACTTCCTTTTTTGTGTGCATTTGCGTAATCAGTGGCGTGTGTAGACTGAATTTTGGAAAGCTTTTATAAATTTCTGAATTGGAGAGAATAGTGAGAAACGGTATAGGCTGTTACGGCAAATCTGTAATTGCTTTTTTACATTAGCAAAAAATATCTCAAATATAAGCACCTCGTCAAAAAAATTCTACCGATCACACGTGAGAGGTCTATTTTCAGCATTCTCGTTCAAGCTATGATTTTCGTGACACTTTTTGGTGGAACTTCCGTCTTCTGCCTGCTGGCATCTCGCAATATATCCGAGCTGATGCAGCTGTTTGGAGTTCGAGTGCACTTCTGTGTGGTTCTCTTTGTACTCGCGCTTGTTCTCTGGCCATTCATGATGTTGCGCAGCCCTATGAATTTTTGGTAAGATTCTTGTGGAACATTCTGCAAAAGCTGTACCTTTTCTGTTTTTCAGGCAAGTGTCGATAGGTGCTGCTGCATCCACTACCATAGCTGTGATTCTCATCCTCATTGGCGCATCAATTGACATTCCCACTTGTTATCATGTAGGCTTTTGAAAACGACCGTATGAGGCTTTTTGGTGCGAAGAAAGTGTTTAAGGTTGCTGCTTATGAAGAGTTATCCTTGAAAAAATTCTGTCTGGGATTTGGCACGATTGTTTTTGCTTACGGCGGTCATCCGGCCTTTCCAACTATCCAGCATGATATGTCAAACCCTCGACTGTTCCCAAAAGCTGCATTGCTCAGCTATATCTGTGAGTTATTTGAGTTCTACACTGTCAGTTTGTAGCTTTATAAAGCAAAAACCAAAGAGTAATATACGTAGCCTCCAGAAATCTACTCTTTGTGGATGTATAAAAGCAAATACCCCAAGTCAATCATTGCTGGTCCGACTTTGTTGCCAGCCAACCTTGAGTAACTAAATCTGTGGGTCTCAGTCCAACTCATCGCTCTGTTCGTCGCCAGGGGCTCTGCACCAGGGAAATTTCAAAACGAAGTTTCCTTTGATCTTGAAAATCTTTATGCGAAGTCCCCTTTGATCCAAACCCTAAACGTAAAATACCCTAGAAAAACGCAACGTCGACCAAAAAAATTTTTGTGTCTTTTCGGCAACAAAAACGATATCCCCTTTGTTTTTTGTCCCAAAAAAATATCAGCTTGACTGTGCCGAGCCCTTTGACATTGTGTCATAGCGCGCATTTTGCCTATGATTTCCACAATTTACATGGGAAAGAGAACGGTGATCTTTATAGGAAATTTTTGTCAAACTTCTTCCAAACATCTGCAGTTAAATTAGAAAATGGACATCACTCACACTATGATCATTTCGAAGTAGATCGTAAAAAATGTAAGACGTTACAGAAATTAGAAACACCAGTACATGAGTCTGACGTGCTTTTCTCCGAGAAAAAGTTGTGATGACCCTTTCGAAAAAGGTTATGATTTTGAAAGTACAAATCGTAATTTTTTTATCTTAGGCTCAATTTTGTTCAAAAAATAATTTTGATGAAATATTGAATTCGTACAATCTTTCAGAAAAATCGTAGGCCCTTAGAGCCCATGTACTGATCTTTCTAGATTTTTCGGCCACGTGTCAGATTTATCAACCTAACACTCGAAACAGTCAAAGCTTAAATGGTCTCATTCATTTGCATTCTGCAGAGGCTTCTGGTAAAGAAATTGCCAAGCAATGCTACAAAGGACAAGACTTTCTCTTGAAAAAAAATAAAAAAGCAAAATTCGAATAGGAAGGGGTGACGAACTCTCAAAAACCTTTGTTACAGACTAGTGCTTTTGAAGTTACAAATTCAAAAAATCCATTTGCTTCAGTGTTGTTCGTGTTGTACGCTCCAGTCTCATTAGAAGGTTATGCTGTATATGGAAACTCATTGACTGATTCAATTATATCTTCTATTCAGGTTTGTAGTACATTTTTCATCTACAAAAATTCAGAATGTCAATTTTATAAAGTCGTGATCCAATCCATATTTCTAAACCATGTTGAGATTTACCAGAAGTCATACATGCAACCAACCAATCTTTCCTCAAAAAATGCGGAAAACAATCAGCAGCGAGAAATTGAAATAATAATTTTCTGGTCGATCTGTACATGTGCTGTGCAACTTCTTCATCCAAATTTGAGACCAAATCAATAAACTCACCGGACAAGAAAACCATTGCAGACCTCATCGTTGCGGCTCACAATAAATGCACTAATTACGGCTCATGTACTTTTTTCGATACTCATAATCATCAATCCTCTGCATCAAGCTGTCGAAGAGCAGTTCAAAGTAAAGCATGGTAAGTGCAAGATTCATCTCGAAAATCTGTTCCCCTCAGTTTTATAGTGATCCTGCTTCGTTTTCAGAGTTTAGCATGGGACGATTTGTTGTACGCACAGTTCTGTTCTTTGCCACGGTTATAGCAGCGTCATTGTTACCAAACTTTGGTGTATTCCTGGACTTGGTAGGTTTGAAAAGAAATTAAGAGAATAGGTTGTATATTACCACCCTTTTAAGGTAGGAAGCTCCTCAATGACTCTTCTTGCGTTGGTTCTTCCGGGATTATTTCGCCTATATCTCGAAGCGGGTTACAAACTGGCTGAGACGCAAAAAGGCATTCAGGCTGACGACTGCTCTCAATACCCAACAATAAAGCAGTACGTTGCTGTAAAACAAAATTCCATAAAATGCGAACAGTAGAGTCATGAATAACTTCAAAAAAAAAGTTCAGGATCTACAACAGAATTGTAGCGGCGTCAAGAATCTCAGATTTTCCCCTTGGATTTTTATGCCTTTTTGCATTGTGTCACTATACTTTTGTGGGATAGTACAGCCCCAACAAGCATTGTGATCAGTGCTTGTAGAAAGAAAAAGAATCGTGGAAATGTGAAAACGCAGTTCCTGCTAAAAGACGCCTTTCTTGAGCCTGTCGCATATCTTGCTGTTTGGAAAGCGGATTCCGTACTATCAAAAGGTTTCAACCCTGTTTACGAAACAGTTTTCAATAAGCACTGCATTGTCTATTGAGCAGCGTTTACTTGAATAGAGGATAATAAGATTTTTATGTCATATAGTGGAGGGACCTTAACTAAGCCATCAACCAAGTCTCGCTGCAAATGGATTCCGAAGCGAGAAGACTGCTCCAGAAGGTAGAAGCGTCACAATGTGGTCCGCCCATCAACGTGGGCAGTCTGAAGATAAAAACTCCAGAATCGGGCTTCAGGTAGATAGATATGTCGATAATCTGATAATTGAAGGGCGGATTTATGACAGATTTATTCTAGACAATCGAGCCCGATTTTGGACTTTTTACGGACTAGCAAGTTGATGGACGGAGCCGCCCCTTTTGTAGCGGTTTTCTCGCTTTGGAATTCATCTTTTGCAGCGAGACTTGGGCGATGGCTTGGTTAGGGGCCCCAATATTACATAACATCGTAATCTTATCACACCCAATTTGAATGAACGGTGCCTTAATTACTAGAAATCATCTCGGCATTACTTGCTCTTAAGGTTAAATTCGACAATTGTGCCTTCAACAGTATTTTGATAGAGCTGCCATACCAAAATGTTCCACAAGTAAAATGTGAACTTCTCCTTCCGGCTTGCACAGAAACTGGAGTGGGAACCATCGCCAAGAATAAGGAAAAGTGGCATTTTGCACGATTTGGTCGTAAATGTGTGTTAAATTAATGACCATCCTTTTTTCTACCATACAATCACCTTGTTGTAAAGTATTACTGTAGCCTATTGCAAATTCCCTCATTTTGACCCATACTTTTCAGGGTCATAAGCTTAAGTAGCAATAAACAGCTACTAATTGAAGGACTGATTATGGGTGAGTTAATTATCTCACAATGAAACTACACTTCGTTCACATAGTTTTTTTTAGGTGTCGGTCTCTTGCTAGGCATCCTTGCAACAGCCAACGCGTTGACGGAAGCTGTTCATTCTTCTCTAGCAAGTCCATGCTTTGTTCAGCTGTTCTCGTCATCATCATCTACCTCTTCATCTTTATCGACGTACTACTGCTGTGGTCCTTACCGGAATATCACGTCTAATAGCGATGCCACATGTAGTGCTTGAAATAAAGAGTCTGTTAAATATGGCTAGCTGCTATCTCTACCAAGAGCTCACATATCAAAGGTGAAAATCAGTATGCAAAGATCCTCCTTTCGATAATTCTTGCACCGTAAACAAGGTGGACCTTTCTCCACTTTTTCAAGTAAACCGCTCAGACGCTTCGCTGTGTTGAGAACACCCTTTCTATGCCGCACGATTCTCATCGGCAATATGCAGCACGGTGTAGGGTTTCTTATTTGCAAAATTCTTTGGCGTTTTTGGGTTGGTCAATTTTAGAATAAAAACCCTGCGCCTTGTACGCGTGAAAATAGGGTGATATGAACGTATAGGGGCGAGTGGCGTAATGTTATGAAGCTCTTTGAGGTTTGGTAAAAATTTGGTCCCTGCTCCCGGAAGAGCCAAGCCTTCTATCCTTTGGAAACGGTTAATTGTACATAACCTGGTAACTGAACTTTTGTTAGTCGCTGCAAAGGTTTGCACAACAGTTGAAAGATGAAGAATGAATATGAAGAATGTCGAATAATGACTTCGGGAAATTATTCGAATGAGATTATTCGACTTGAGATTTTTGAATCATTCAATCTAATCAAATACTGGTGCATCTCGGAAGCGAATAATCGAGTAACTGGACATGGAGAAGCAACCGTTTGAATATTCAGAAATTTGTACCGGCCTATACTGTATTCGAGTAATTTTAATAGTTTATTAGTCGTAGCTTCATTATTGATCTACGAGAGGCAATAAGTGCAATATGGTAGATCAAATTATATTAGGTTGTCCCGAAAGTTTTGACCTTTTTTTCAACCTATCATAAAAATACGTGGAACAAAGTAGGGAAACGCTCTAAGCACTGTCCGACGCATCTTTTCCTCCTCCTTCTAACTGTCAGGCCCACAGACCGATTACTCTTTTGCTCACTGAGATAAACGCCGAAATTTTGAACTCATGGTTTTTACTATGTCCAAGTTTGACAATTTTTCACAATCTTCATTTTCAACTTTTGGAAGACCTTGATAGCTCTCAGATAGAGTAAGCAAAGGGCAATGCAATGTAATTATTTGGCATATCTAGCTGGCTTTTCAATATTTTCAAAGATAATTTTTTCAAAAGTCTTCACTTTTGCGAAGGTCTAAAATACAGAAACGCCTCGAACACCAACAAATCATCGGTTTTTGAAGCTTTCAAAATCCGATTACGATTATTCACTATTTTTATGAAGCAAATGAGCGTTTACCGCTTCGAAATATAAGTGCATTTTACGTGTGTACGCTGGGGGGTGGGGTTAAATTCAAGAATTATGAAAATTTCATCGCCAAAAACCCCGCAAATTGGAGAGAAAATACACTCACTGGAAAGAAAATCAAAAGCTGCATCGAATAACACCTCAGTTGTGCGCCGTTTCATGATCTCTGGCTTTCCATCACCAAAAGTGGAATTTGATAGCATCAGAAAAATAATTCTAAAAAATTTTCAAGGCTGGCTATAGATGCCGCAGAATTGCATTATATTGCCCTTTGTTGCTCTATCTAACTGTTGCCAAAGCTTTTCCGAAAGTCAAAAATAAAGATTGTGAAAAATTGCCAAAATTGGACACAGCAAAAACCATGGGTTCAAAATTCGGCGTTTATCTCACAAGGGAATGGTCAGAAATCGAAGTGGCCAATTCGAGCAAATTACATATCGTTAAATGCAGCATAAAACGCTGACTCTAAGTATGCTTTCCTTTTCTGCAGAGCGCTTTTGTAGATGAAATTATAAGCCGTTAAAGGTCATTATTTTACCAAGAAATTGTGCGTGTAAAGGTTAAACTTGGCCGTACAGAGCCACTCTCGGCTCAATGTTGGACCAAAACATGTAACTAGGTCTCTTCATATGGGCCCGTACTCAAAGGTGAGCTATAAGGGCAGTAGTGTGCCTAATCTCACAATTTTTGTGCATGATTTTTTCGCAGTAAAGCTGCTCATAACTTCGCCTACAAAGACGCTCTGCAGGTAAGGAAGGCAGATTTGAAATCTGCGTTCCATGCTGCATCGAATGGTGTGCAGCTTGTTTGGATTGGCCACTTCGACTTTTGACCATTCCCTTGTCAGTAAACAAAAGATTAATCGGCATGGAGGCATGACAGTTAGAAAGAGAAGGAAAAGGTGCGTCGAATGGTGCTTAGAGCGTTTCCTTATCTTCGTTCCACGCGTTTTTATGATAGGTTGAAAAAACGGACAAAACTTTCGGGACAACCTAATATGTAACCAGTGCGTCCCCTCTGCTTCGCAGAGGCTCGCACTGGCTTTACTATCTAGGCCCTACTCATTCTCGCTAATGATGGCACTAGAACTCACCGAGCATCGCCGACTATCACGAACAAAATGCGAACAACTACTCATTCCGAAATCATTCTTATTTCTTCTTATTTCTTTTATGTGAAATCGGTGATTTCGCGTGTATGAGACTTTTTGCATTATAGGTTTTGAATTTTCCCATGGTCTTGACAGTTGCAATAAGAACAGTAGTCATGTGAGCTACATCTTTGTGCAAAAATCTCGTCAAATGCTCTGGCAAAACCTTGGCAAATTTGACCATCAAATTGACCATCGACTCTGCAAAAGGTGGAATTACGGACCCAATTTTGCGCCCAAATGCAAAGTGGGTCCGTTTGATGCGCAGTTTTTGAGGGATGCACTCAGCGAATCTGCTCGTGGTTTTGCGCGTTGGACTTTCATGCGGGTAGCATGCGCTGTGCAAAATTTGAGCCCAGAGGCGGTATGTAACAATCGCCCGTCCGGGTAAGTTACCCGGACAGATAGTTTCCGCTTCATAGCTCGGTGCTCTGGGAATCTGTGTTCTTCCTTGTTTGTTCATCTATTGGAGGCTCTACTACCCTAATATTGTAGCACAATGACTAGCAGCACTTTGCTGTAAAAGCTGAAATAATTCGTTATTTGTATATCCCGAACAGGATCTCCCACTGATCACACTCTTTTTTAAAGTTATTTATATCCGCAAAAACTCAAGGAAAACGTCACAGAGTTTTGCTCTCCTATTACGACAGTGCTACGCATGTTTGTGAAAGAAATAAGTGAAAAATCAAGTTGACAAAATCTTCGCTGAACATGTGCTCGCGCTCATCTTTATTACTAAAAACATGCTAGCACTTTCGTAATAGATCGACAGCAAAACTCTGTGGCGTCTTCATTGAGTTTTTGCGGATATAAATAACTTTGAAAATGAGCGTGATCAGTGGGAGATCCCGTTCGGGATCATACAATTAACGAATTATTTCAGCTTATACAGCAAAGTGCTGCTAGTCAGTGTGCTACAATATTAGGGTAGTAGAGCCTCCAATAGATGAACAAACAAGGGAGAACACAGATTCCCAGGGCACCGAGCTATGAAGCGGAAACTACCTGTCCCGATAACTTACCCGGACGGTCGATTGTTGCATACCGCCCCAAGAGGTTGGCTGGAACACGCTCTACGAATTTCGTAACACACACACACACACACACACACACACACACACACACACACACACACACACACACAACACACACACACACAACACACAACACACACACACATACACACACATACACACACATACACACACATACACACATACACACATACACACATACACACACATACACACACATACACACACATACACACACATACACACATACACACATACACACACACAACACACACACACAACACACAACACACACACACATACACACACATACACACACATACACACATACACACATACACACACACATACACACACATACACACATACACACACATACACACATACACACATACACACACAACACACAACACACACACACACACACATACACACACACACTTGAAGAGAGCAACAAGTCTCACATAAAAGTCTCCTTTCCATGGCGATATGGGGGTGATAAACTTCCACGTGATCCTGTGTTTCGTTGCGAAACTGTGGATGGGGTTCCATGAGTGGGGAGCAAAGAACAAAGTTCTTATTGCGTCTTCTGCGGCATGGATTGTGGATGCGTTATCACTATAGATGAAGTCTGGTGTTCCACGTCGTCCCATAAATCATCTGCAGGCTAGTAGGAAGTCCTGTGTGGAGTTAGAGCTGACAATTTCCAAATGTACAGCTCTTGTGGCCATGCACGTAATAAGGCACACCCATGACTTCGCTTTGATGCCGTTCGCATCCCTGTAAAGGATGGGACCCAGATAGTCCAGTCCTACGTTCTGGAACGGTCTTGATCTCACGACTAGTTCCTCGGGCAAGCTGGGCATGTCCGGATAACGATAGGCTGGGCCACTGGCTCTCTTACAAACGGTGCATTTGCGAAGAATGCGATCTACCGTACCACGTGTGGAAGGTACAAAGAAGCGTTGACACAACTAGGATAGTGGCGATAGTGGCGTACGTTCCTTGATGATAAGATGCGATATGAATGTGAAGTGTGATGAGGAATGTAAGTCTGTGAGAGGGCACCAATAAAATAGGTGCTATGGGGTGGACTTTCTCCATGCGGGCTGGGCATCTGATGAGCCCGTTTTCGTCTCTATGTGCTTAAATCGCTCGAGGCGAAAACGTTCTAACAGATGGGCAGACTCTCGATAATGTTCGCGGATAGCCAAAATCACCGCCAAAGTAATGTGCTGTGCCGTGATGTTACCGGCAGAGGGAATTTGAGAAAGAATGGGGAAATGGGGATTGCCTTATAGAGATAATGTCTACACGCGGACACTCTGGGGCCAAGAAACTTGCGACGTAAAAATCTGAGGATGTAAACGGTAATACGAAGAAGTTTCGTATAACTGTTCGCAATGTAAAATGGGATAACTGACACGTGTGAATCTTCTCTAACCAAACTTACCTGTACAAACTCCTTATCCTGCTCCGGTGTTGTCGTGGGCAGGGTCTTAAAGTCCATAGCTTTATCGGCCAGTACTCAGGTAACCGAAATATGAACGATGGTCCTGTCCACCAAGATGATCCACTGCTTCCTTCGTCGTCAATCCGCGCGTCGCGAGGTCCACAGGATTGTCCTCCGAAGCAACGTTGTGGAACTTGACATCGGTACCCAAATCCTGAAATTCCTTAACGATATTGCGAATGAAACTTACCCTATTATGGACAAACTGCTTCAATGGCCTGGTGGAATGAATCCAATGAAGCACGATTTGAGAGTCTGAAAAGATGTGCATTGTGGGGAGTGGAAGATCCAACTCTTTGTGGAGGTATTGGGGAGAGTGAGACAATTTCTGGCTGCCATTAATTCCATTCTGGGAATGGTCATGGGCTTTGCGGGCTCGTTAAAGGCAGTAGGTCGGCGGAATGAGACCAGTGGCAAAACAAGGTCACAGGGTAGGAGCCCCATAATGGAACCTATGGGCCAAAGTTCGATCTTTCTCTGCCACTTCTAACCCGAAATTTCAAAGCGAAAGCAGCGCTCATCTCCTGTCCTCTCCGAACCCGCTCACCCCACGGACGAGTGACTTCCGCGGTCAGAGAGCCTGCCGCAATGCTATAAGCATGAGGTCCCGCAACGACTCTGCGTCTTCGCCATGACGGGTTCGCGTTCACTCGTCCATTGGGTGGGCGGGTTCGGAGAGGACAGGAGATGAGCGCTGCTTTCGCTTTAAAATCGGGGGTTAGAAGTGGCAGAGAAAGATCGAACTTTGGCCCATAGGTTCCATTATGGGGGCTCCTACCCTGTGACCTTCTTTTGCCACGGGTCTCATTCTGCCGACGCACTGCCTTTAAGGTGCGATCTTGCCATAACGAGGTGTGAGGTGGTAATGTCGTGAGCACGGCTTACCAAATATGCACATGGCGCGTACACTCGTTTAGATGCATCTCCAAAGACGCATTGTTCGAATGCACGTGTGAGAGGTATAGATCTTGGAACGACTCGTCTGGGGACACTCTTTTAAGGTTTCCTCATCCAATCTATCGTCTTACTTGAGCTTTTTCAGCCACAAATCCTGGATGAATAACTTAAACGGAACCATAAAAGGAGTGAGAAGACCTAGGGGTAGATTCAATATAGATTTATGGGTATAGAATACCGCAACGGCTAACCACATTGAAGCGCCGATATCTCAGTCTAGATAATTCGAAGCAAATAGTTAAACGTACCATAACTTTTGAAGGCTACTGCATGACGAAGGCGCAGAAGCAGTTTCTAAGTTGAGGGGCGCGAACGCGAGGCGTGCGTATTCTCACCCTTGTAAATGCTGCGTCTCATGCGCTCTGCGGCTAACAAAGCCGCGTTCGCTCCCAAAGATATTGCGCCTTTGTCATGCAGCAGCCTATACATACAGTAGCTAGATTTCCGAAGAAGCGCTGTTCATTTGCATTTGAATTTTGGCCAAAAATATGAATGCAATAAAATTCTAATTTTGGATGCTGTTATTTGGAGCTCTGTAACATCTCAACAGATGAGACTGGAAGACCGCTTCAACCATCATTAGATAGTGCATGAATAGTGCTTTTTAACGTTATGCAGTATCTGTTTCAAAGGAAAAATTTTGATGGAAAAAGCCGTCCTGAAAAAATGGAAAAACAGCAATTACTTTTGCATCAACCTAGTAATTGCCTACCAATGACTGAAAGAGATTTCAAAACTTTATGAGATAGTTATTGAGTTCATTGCAGATGATAAACTTGCATCGGTTGAAAAACATTGGCCAATGCTGGGACGAGTGTGAAGATCCTTCTTCAAATTGATGTATTGTTCTCTAAAAGCATATGGTGCCACAAGCTGATCGACTTTTCTTGAATAAGTGCACTTCGAACATTTAAGCGCAAATTTTCCAAAATTGCGTATAATGCGGTGTGGTGTGTGAGCGTCTACGAAATCGCTTTGGGTTTGTCCGGTAATCAAGAGATGAGCGATTTCAACGTGGTAAAACGGTCGCCTAGGCAGTCTAGCCGCAGCGATCGAAAATCGTAACGACAGGGTCGTTGGCGGTATGCCTTAGGCTTAAGCTCGGGCATCCCTCACGCGACGATTTCAGTCGCCACGTGATTTGGCAATCTGCCAGATCTTTCAAATCCAACACCTGCTGATACGAATGCACATTATGTGCAGCTTTCGCTTATCGATAAAATGTCCCACTTTTCTTTCATAATGCGCTTACGATGAATTATGAGCAGTTGGAATATTGCCAAATCGCGTCGCGCTGAAATTACGTGAGGTATGCCCGGGACCTATTGGAGGACGCTTTCGAAAATTTTTTAGAAATTTTTGAATTTTCGAAAAGAAGCTTATATAGGCCACTTCCAACCCCCCTCCCTTCATCACTTTTTGACGACGTAGAGATTTTTACAGCAAAAAATGCGTGCTCATGAATCGCATGACAACGACACAGCAACAGAACAGCAGAACTAAGTTTGGCCGTCTCGATCGATGTCGCTGATGTTCGCAAGCGCTGCTGTGCTGGATGTGGGCCCCTTCAGTCCTCATCCGAAGCGTTCCTGTGCTACCGCCAATTGCTCCGGCAATGACCGCTAGGATGATAATCAAATTATTGGGTGAGTTCTCGTTTTTCCATGTTGTTTATATGTCCTCAGCTCCGCCCTCTCGTGACGAATCGTGGCTTAACGCGGGGTTATTTTGTGGTGTTTTTCACAGCCAACTAAGGTCAACGTCATACTCGTCAGCATTCAAACTGGCTTCGGCGCAACAATTGCATATGTGCGCTCGTCACGCAAGAATCTTGGCACTTTTTGTATTTGCGCACAATAGAATTTCACGATTTACACCTGATAGGCGATTTTCACTATTATCTTTTGTTATTAAATAGCTAATTTCCGAACAATATTGCATAAATTGTGCTCCACCTAATATCTAGGATTCATAGCTAAAAAAAACTCGTAGGGCCTTATTTTTATGAAAAACAATATTGCTCTCCGAATCGTTTAGATAATCGTTATCCGCATCATTTGCTAAGTATCATCACTGGTCTAGTTTGCCCACATCTGCTCGTGCATCAGATATCTGCTACTCATGCTCTTTTTCCAAGTTTCTCACCTCAAACTCATCGAGGCGCGATTCTACATAAATTAAGTCGTGAAAAGTTTGCTTTGAACGCGCATGGGCGCCGATGGAACAGAGCTAGGGCGCTCCATTTCTAACTTTTTTATTTCAGGCGCGCCTCAGAGAAGTTCTTATAGAACGCCTTTGCTGTATAAACAGAAGCTGAGAACCTTATAATTCTGGGGTTAAGGAAAACGCCCCTCGGGAAAATGGTCTTTCATTGTTTGCGACAAGTAAGCGAAAAGCTAATAATATTGCGATTGCAGAAAATGCAAAATATGAATAAACGAAACCTATTGCCAACTTTCATAAAAGCGTCTACTGATGATCCATCTCTTTTGCTGCGTCTATAGTTTCTCATAGTTTCTCATCTTTACGATCGTATAATGTTAACGAGTACTTGTTCCTCACTATGCATAGTGTCTTTTTTTCATGCAAGACCGTATTTTTTACGTACAAGTTGCATTTGCTCAATACAGGATAGGCTGATAATGAAATTCGCTAAATCGTCGAAATTTTTGCTTTGCTGTATGAGCGAGTTTGCAGAATCTCATAGTTATGCGCACAATTGATGACTATTCTATAGAAATTGAGATGCATGCATAGGATTTCGCCAATCTCACTATCAGACCTCAGTCTTATAAAAACTTTGCGCCTTCTATGCTTCAAAATGTAGCAGGTATACTCATAAAGCATAATGCACACGCTGTGTAAAATTCGCTCTTACAGTTCTTATTCAATACTAACACAACCCACCGGTGGGTCGTACGTGTTCTCCCATCTAGGACAATACGACCCACCGGTGGGTCGTAAGATTGAAAAGCAAGAAGGGCTCTGGTCCGAAACGGCACAAAGGCGAAAGAAGTGTGCGAATGATTTATTTATACTTGCAAATGATATAATAACCAAACTTACGGAGGAATTTTTGCGAGGATATAGCTTGCAAAAATTTTGAGCAATGTCTTGAGAATTTTCGGGATGCATGGCGTCAGAGATTTTTTGCGCTCTCCCATCCCCTTGTGAAAGGAAGTCCTAGGACCTCCACTGTTGACTCATGAAATTCCTAATCTTATGGACTAGCTTCTAGATTACCGCCAACCGGACGTCTTTGTGAGTCATAAAGCGGTTCTTGTCTGGATTGTCTACTATAGAAAGGAGATCAGCTGCACAAAGGGAATCTCACGTACTTGCTTAAAGAGCTAATATCTCACTCTTCTTACGAAGATTGCGTACTGTTTTTTGTTATGCAATTGCTTTTCATTGATTTGAAATGGGCTCATCTTGACCCTGACAACAGCGAGGACTTCTTTGCCAACAGCAATGTCAGTCAAAAAAGCACCCTGTGATGACACGAAGCATCGCAAATAAATGCAAAAAAAGCTGTGAATCGCCCCTTCAATGGTTTAATTGCCTTAGAGTTACTTTAAGTACATTCGCTAAACTCCCGCACTTCAATAAATTGTGCACCTGCAATTACTTGCAATTGCTACTATAGTCGCCCGGTAATAGCCTACTATGTACTTTCTAATGGGAAAAAAACCTGCTTCCGCCTCTCAATGTGCGCATTTTAGTTTCAAATCGTAATATGTGGTTTTTGTGCCTAGTTTAAGTAGGTTAAATGTGATTGATGTTTTTCACTCGGAAGCGATCGCAATGTTTTGTGTATCGACACGGGTCATCATTGTGTCGCTTCCTAACCGGTTCTGTTGAATAGGCGGATGAAGCTTTGCAGATTCACGTTATCCAGCTGTAGATTGTAGCACTGAGACTTCTCCTTAAAGATATGGTCACCCCTGCTCTTGAAGTCCTTTTTTAGTGGAAAGTTGGCTTTCAGACTATCTGCTGCTGAAAGAGTCTAGATTTAGCACTTTGCATCAAAAAGAAGAGTGCTCGTATTATGATGCGCATATTTTTTCACTCAAGGTACAAATAGTGTTCAAATTGAGAACTTTTTGATTTGATCTGCTCTCGCACTCAAGTAAAAAGCAAAATTTGGAAAGAAATTGTCTTAACAATTCTAAACTTGTGCCAACTCCTGTCCCAGATTATTGGAAAAGCTTATATTTGCACATTCAGAGCCGGAGTTACACTAATCATACTCCACAAGTAACAGTTGTTCCGACATATATCGTTCTTCTAAAAGAACCTTACTCCCACATCGGTAGACAACATTCCATCTCATTTCTTAGAGTTTCTGCATCTACATGAGAATGTGAATGTACATGCGGAGGCTTTACTGAACCAAATCCAGTCTCATCTTACTCAGGTTTCCTCTGTTGATTAACTTTCGAAGATTTGTCACTAAATCTGAATTTTTGTCTTTCTATATTTGTGCTTCTCTTAATCGAGTTAAGTTTAAGTTTCTCGAAGTTAGCATATCGCCCTCAAAAGAAGTGGCTTTGTCAACCACTTTGTTTCTGAACCTACGCTTGTTGCATTATCTACACAAAAAGTATAACATTGTTTCTTGGTATTAGACGCAGTAAATACGTGGACATTTTACTTGCATATAAAAAATGAGCAGCATAAGCCATAAATAATATTCTGGAAAATGAGGAAACTGGTGTTTTTTTTTGAATAATTTGCAAAGGTCTAGATTCAAACATTGTCTATTTCTACAAAGGTTTAGAGATATTTGAATGATCAGAGAACTTCTGCTGACTTTCGAGCTCTAATTTTTCGCTTGCAAGTGAAAGTGCCTGCAGCAGAGCAGAAGTGCCATTCACTTTTTTATATCGCATAATTAGCCAAATTCAACTAACCACTCTAGAGAAGTGCACTTTCCTGCACAAATGCCACCTTCTAACAGTTGAAGTGCACTTTCCGGTTCTGGTTTTTCTAGAGCCATTCTTCATATATGATCTCGCTATCGCGTTCATCTATCTCTATGGGTGAAGATTGCTTTGTTTGCATTTTTTTAGATAATTTTGAACAATTACTTACTAGAATGGAACTCATTATGTCCGTAATATTGCAATGTATATGGAATCATATACACATTCTGATTAAGAATCTGTTTTTCTGAATGGCTCTATAACCCTTTTTACCTCGTTAAAAAATTAAGGAGAAGATAAGCACATTTTGCTGTTGTTTGTTGTTTAGCGAAATTAATTAAGGTGATTGGACCACAAAGCTGATTTTGCTCATACACCATTATCCCTTCCCAATAGAATTCAAACAGAATTGAGCAAAAAGATGTTCTTATATCTTAATACCTTAACACTTTCGGTGGATAGGGTAGAATGTTGCCATAAAAAGTGGTATTAACAAGCTCGTTTTTTCCATTCCGATTTCGTCCTCAATATGGAAAATCGATACTGCAGAAAATATGTGACAGAAATTGCAGCAATATCTAGTGAGGACAGATCTGAGTGGAAGAGAGGGTGTTACGCAAAAATGCACAAAAATTAGTAAAAACATTTTAATTTTAGATTTTCTAAAAACACTAATCTTGTCCGCTTATGATTCGGTACGAGAAGAACTCAAGTATGCTTGTAGTTGGATTTTCCCAAGCCTAATTCCCAAACGCTTCAACACAACCGGTGTGAAAATGTCCCGGCCGTGGTAATTGAGCGAGCGTTCAGGTTTTAGGCGCAAAAACAAGTTGAGAAGAGAAAAATGCAAGTTTTTGCGCTGCAAAGTTTTTGCAAGTGGCGGTAATCGCTGGTATCAATCAGTGACTCCGGTTTTTGCTAGTTTACATACTCATCGACTCAATCTTACTACTTTCAACGCGTTGCAATTTCTTTTTCTCACGAAAAACAACATAATCGCTCGAGGAGGATTGTTTAGCCCCCCTTGCGCTCACCTAAATCCACAGCGTTCGATATAATCGAGTCCTAATCTAGTATAAAAAGTGCAAATGACTTAAATTGATTTTGTGAACAAACACAATGATTTCTGAAAATTTGTAAAGATTAGAAAATACAAACTACAAGTGCAATTACAATTTAGCTTTTTTTAAAAAATTCTACTTGGGCCCACAGTCTTGAAAGCATCTCACACACTTTTAAACATTTTTAAAATGCGTGATCATGCTCGTATTTCTAAAAAAAAGTTTCCTTAACCTCTTCTCCCCTCGCCCCTTTTCCTGGCCACCGAAGAAATTTCCCCGGAACTACTTATAGTTTTTTTGCTGCCAGCCTGAATCTGTTCTTAGTGAGCGTTTTCTTCAACGCCTTTTCCTTATCTTTCGATTTTTGAGATAATCAATGAAAACTTTCTGTAATATGTATACTTGCAAAATGCAGAATAGCAGACGAGGACCAGCACTGCACGCACAATGTGCTTAGTGTATGCATTCTCACATTTAATGCTACGAAAATGATACGTTTATACATTTTTCAAAACCAACCAAGCAATTTCCCGCATGCCTATACATAGCAAATGACGAACGTGTGCGTGTAGTCGATATTGTTATTGAAATCTGAGACATGCACACTTCGTAGAGCATTTTTAAGTACGTTTTTCATACATTCATTCTTCTTCGTGATCG